GGGGGGGGGGGGGAATCATACTATAAATGTAATGCTGCTGCTTAAGGGATTAGCATTGCTCCCTGCTGAAGACAAGTGGTTACTGAGTTTTCTGTGGGGGAGGGAGCTACCTAGGGCATGCTCAGAACACTGGATTACAGTGGACTGAGTCTATCCTCCATTTATTTTGGGGAAAAAAACAGAGGATTTGGAGCACCCACTCCTCTATGAAAGGATTGCGCAGCTGCTGGTGTTTATTTCATCAAAGCTTCCCCCTCCTTTCAGACATCATTCCTTTCTATGAGATCCTACGAAGTGCAGAGCATGCCTGCAAGTCCTGCTGATTTCAGAAGTAAGTCAGAGAGTACTCAAGAATTTTTCTGACTTTGAATTTTAAAAGAGTTATGACAGCTTCATACCAAGATAAAGGAGGCTGATTTCCCTTTTACGTTAAGATGAACATATGGCACTGTGGGGGTAGGAAAGTATCTATACATCCAATTTTAAGGCCCCTCTACTGCTGGCATAAGGTAAAGTTGCTTGAGGGTAAATGTCTATCAGGCTTAGAGAATTCTATGCAGTGGAGAGAAATGCATCTGCTTAATACCAGACACTCAGCACCAAAAATCTTCTGTCCACCTACCCTAACCAAAATCACACAGTATGTGGCAGAGCTATGAATAAAGCATTGTTCCATTGGTGTCAGTGGAATAACTCCAGTTTACACCTTTAGCTACAGAAGGGTTGGACTCCAGTAGACACTCACCAAATTTTAAAAAATAAAAGCCTTCCCTTGCACCTCCCAAGGTGCTGATGGCATAGTTAGTACCAGGATGACATAACAAAGCCTCATAGCAAACCTGATGTTTGAGGGGCAGAATTCCCCATTGAAAGTGGCAGAAGAAAAACCCTTCCTTCCTTCCTAAAAAGCCCAGAGCCTCCTCTATATTGGCTCTATGCACACAGGGTTAACAAGACCAAACCTAAGAGAAATTGTCCCCCAGGGAGAAGCATCTTCAATGCCGTTCAATAAATCTCCTGTCCTTGATTTTCATTTGTACTGAAGCAGACTGGCTCATGCCACCAATATCACCCTGGAGCAAATGCAACTGGTTGATTCTCAAAGCGCTAACTGATTTAAGAAGGAGCCTCCCTGTGTGCAAGGCGTCTGTTTCCCCCTAACCCAGAGATGTAATTTCCTCCTCCAGTCCTTGGCCAGTGAGCCAGCATTCCAGCATGATGTATTTTAATTAATCTCAGCTATTGAATCCTTGGCTTGGAGGCATGCACAGCACAGAGTAAGAAGCCCTGTGCAATTCCATGTTAATATATTTTCCCTTTCTTTCTAAAGTTGGAAACCAACAAAGTTGCTGGATTTATTTAGGGCCCAGCAGCAGACATCGCTGGTTAGGAAAGTATGTCAGAAACCTGTAAACAGAGGCATAGACTGAATTCTGAGCTGCCTGCAGATCCACATCCAAACTTTGCAGGAGTTCAGAAGTGTTCGAGTTTGGGGTTCTTGTTTCAGGCCTATCTGAGAGATGGAGCAGCCCTACAACAGACTATCCAAACCTGGCCAGGACTTCTGCTACCTTGAGGCATTTCATTCAAATGAAGCTCATTGGCTTTGTCACAGCTCTGTATAGGCATAAGCTAAGCAGGCTTCTACCCTAATAGATGACAACCCTGAACTCGAACTGCTCCGCCCTGCAGCAGAGCGCACTCACTGGGCCAAACTTCATGGAAAGGAGGGTGAGGTTCAGTCCAGCAAGCTCATTTTCACTTGTGAGCTGGACCAGACTATGAACACATCTCCAAAGGCAAAAAGGCAAAGCAACTAACCCACTGCATCACTCTGTTTATGGCTTTCAATCTTCCCTCGCTTACATGGCTGCCAGGAACTGATCCAATCCACCAACAAAGTCAACAGAAAGACTCCCATTGGCTTCAAAAGGCTTTAAACAAAGGCCAGGGACTCCACTGAAAATCAAAGTGTAAAATGGTGGAAGTGCAAGAAGACTCATTCCCTTTCATTGCTGGATGAAGGCAGGAGAATATGGGCTGCAAAAAAAGAACAGTCAGGCACGATTCCAGGAGGTATATCTGCTAAGAAAATGGCAACCTTCCAGCCTCAAACACTGTATGGCACCAGGCTGATATGGAAAGATTGTGGGAGGATTAGGTTTAAGATATTCATGCGAGGCTTTTTAATGTTGCTTCACTGTTTCTCTGGCTGCTGCACCCAGTTTTCAGGAGTGAAGCATGAGGTTTTGGCTCATCCTGGAGAAGCCAGCAGAACCAATGGTGTGTGTTAGTGAAGGTGAGATTAGCCAGTGTAGCCTGAAATCAGTAAAGCTCCATTTCAGGAAGGCAATTAAACACATTCAACTGACTTCAAAGTTAAATGCACCTACACCAATCTTCTGATCAAGTTAGAGAACAGGCTGTCTCTTTCTCTCCCGTCCTGCTTCCTGTCCTTGCTGAATATCCACAGCTACAATGGACTCTGTACAGCTATAAATAGGTGTCTGATTAATCTGGTAGAAACACAGCAACTGGCCCCTGAATTGTGTGTGGTCAAAATGGTCCAGAAATCCTATGAATACTCCAGATACGCAGCCTACCCACCTCTGCCTGTCTATGGGATGCCAGAGCACAGGGGCTGAAGAGAAATTGGAAAGTCTCTTTCCCGCTGTTCTGTAGCTGGCTGTACAGCAGAATCATGACTTCTCCCCAAGTTGACAAAAACTTGCCCTGAAAGCAGGTGCCGTGGAGAGCTAGCAATGACACTGTCACTTACCTCGCTGTCACTAGCAGGGGGCGGAGGAGGCTCTTTGATTATCTGAAAGGCACAAAGAAAAACAGGAAACGGTAAATCGGCATGTTGTCCTTGGGTGTGATGCAAATGGCACTTGAAAAGAGCAAATCTTTGTCCCTGTTAGCATCCCTGAAATGCATGCAGTTACAGCAGGGGTAGGCAATTATTTTGGGTGGAGGGCCACTTAAGGAGGTGTGGTGAGCTATCAAGGGTCGCATAGGTAGCCCCACCCCTTGACAGTTGCCCTGCCCCCTGGTTGCCATCTTGGGACTGGAAGTCCCACCCCTAACCTTTGCCACTGGAAGTCCCTCCCCTTGACCCTCAGAAATACTCCTTTTGGGAAGGGGGGTTGCCATCTTAGAACCAGAAAAAACAAATCATACACTAAAAGTTAAACACTTACCTAGAACATATTTTGATTTTATTACAGAAAATATTTTTGTTATGATTTGTGTTTGAGTAGTGTATGTAGAGGTGATTGCATAATAACTCAAAAAGAAATTCTTAATCTTTTATATTGTGTGGGGGGGTGTGGTTGGGGTATGTGTGTGTATGATGGGGATATGTGTATGGTGGGGGGATGTGTGTGATATTTGTGCAGTTTGGAGTTGACTGGTAATATGTATTACCACCATCTGTGTTTTTTTTTGTCTCAATGCTTTGACTTAATGCAGCTTTTCCCAGAAACTGGAATATACTCCCTATGAGATACAA